TTTCTGGGGGAGGGCCCCAGACCCCCCCTTCGCGTGCTCGCAACTTTCGGTTACGTTTAGACCCCCCTGGTGCAAATCCTGTACACGCCCCTGCCGAGCAAATTGCCAACATTGAAAAACGAACCCCCCCAATATAAAGCTGGCTACGGGCCTGTGCTCTAGTACCTAGGTTGAGAACACATCTAATGGCTTTATTTTGACACACTTGCAGCTTAGCCCTTGTGCGCTTTGTGAGACTGCTGTACCAGATACTTCTTGCATAGTCAAAATAACATTGAATTAGGGCAGAAACTAGTAATCTTTTACATGCCGTGTTTAAATACTTAGCTTTTCTGGAATAACATAACATAACATCAACACAAACATGACAGAACAAATAACATAACATATATATATATATATATCATCATTAACATGACCCAAAATCGAGCCTTGTGGTACTCCACATGCAATAGGGTCCTTATTAGAGAAGGTACCTAGATGTACTTAGAAATGCAACAATGGACCCCGTTGTCAACCCCCCCCCCCCTTCATCAGTGCATAATTTGTCAAGGCAAAGAATGACGATGTGTTTTCTGCAACCCCACAAGGCCTGGAAACTCAGAAGAATGCAACTCACATACAGTGATTCTCAAGACAGTGTACCAAATCTAGTCTGGCATAAATCGTGTTATGCTGACTTCACTCACAAGAAGAGTATTGCTATACTTCAAAGGCGTACCAATATTGTTGCCCCTAAGTGTCCATCGGGTGAAATGAACAATGAACAAGCCGGTACTGATTCACAAAGGAAGCATTCACTAAGAAGCTGTGCTAAGCCAATTGACTGGAAACTTTGTATGTTTTGTCAGGATTCGACAACAAAACAATCGACCTGTAGTGTAAGGACAATGAACATGAGTGAAAACATTCTTTCCGCAGCTAAATTAAAATATAATGAAAATGTTCATGTGCGCGTTGCAGATGTGAAAGACCTTGTGGCAGCAGAAGGAATATACCATGCTAACTGTATGAAGAAATTCTTTCGTGATGTAGAGAAAGCGAAGACAGAAAACAAATATGTAGACCTTGCGATGGTGTGGTTGGCGCAGGAACTTAGACAATCAGCTGACAGAGGACATGTTCTTGAACTCATAGAAGTGCGAAAAAGGTATGAAGATCTTGCTGGCGAAGCAGGGATTGTGATTCCTGCATCATATCTTAGCCGCCTGGCAACTTTCAAGGACAGATTGTCCAGCATTCTAGATGGTGTATATGACTTTATTGTCCTGCGTGACCAAGAAAACTTTGATAGAAAGACAGTCATGCTGAGAGGGTCTATGTCCCCCAGGGTACGGTCCGGTATACCGGAACGTACCCTGGTACCATCTAATATGCCGGACCGTACCTCGCCTACTCCACTAACGAATCTAGAGAGTCGCCTACAACTACTCCCTAACCCTATCAAATAGTTACCAGGGTACGTTCCTGGTATACCGGACCGTACCCAGGGTACGTTCCGGCAGTACACTGGGGACATACACCATATGAGCGACAGTCATGGTACCAAAGAAATTTAGTCATGTTCCTCTTTCAAAACTGAAATCATTTGAAGGTAGTTGTGACAACACAATCCCAATATTTCGATCGGGTGACGATGAGTTTTTGTCCATGGTACATGTAGCACTCAAGATCCGTGGTGATATACAATCCCAATCAGAATTCAAAGGGGTTGATGTTAACGAAAATGCAGCAATTGATTGTGTCCCCACAAGTTTATACATGTTCATTCGGTTACTGATTGGTGGTCAAACACTCTTAGAAGAGGCCAATGATGAAAATGATGTAGAAGACACATTTGACAAGATAGAATCTGTTGTTCAGTCTAGGGTTCTCAGCATAGGCCAAGATATAGTGTTCAATGTATCTGGGGAAAGGAAAACCTCCCCGAAACATGTAGGTCTTGGCCTTACACTGCATCAAGCTACCAGATCAAAATCACTTGTAGAAATGTTTTATAATGCTGGGCATATTGCTAGCTATAGAGACATACTACGTGTTGACACTGCTTTAGCTGAGGTAACCTTAAATAGTATGGACCAGGAAACGGGGTCAGTTGTCAGTTGTATTCACCCACTTTTCAGCAGATAACATAGATATCAATGATTCCACCTTGGATGGAAAAAACACTTTCCACGCAACACAAGTCGCAGCATGGCAAAGGGGACCTGTCGGGGGGATTGCTCTTGATAGCGTTTTGGCAGACATTAGGCCATCTGATAAAGTCACACTTGAAGTACCCAATGCGTTGGAGACAGTTATTCCTGTCAACTTCCCCAGTGGCTCAACAGAACCAAAAATGACAAATGTGAATGTAGATATGTTTAAGAAGCCCAGTGTTGATGTACCCAAATCACAGGCATCAGCAGCAGACCTAGCCTTCTTATTGGTGCACCAAAACCAGGAACCCAAGCCATCCTGGACCGCATTCAATGAAAGGCACAGTAAAATAAACCCTCCAAAAACCATCGTTGGGTACATGCCAATCATTCAGGCACCTGCTCATGAATTGTCAACATTGAATACTGTGGTCAGAAGAGTTATTCATGTTGCGGAAGCACTTGACCAAACGCATGCTGTCCTAACAGTGGATCAGGCACTCTTCCCTGCTTAAATGGGAGGTTCCTGAGTATCAAATGTTGATACGAAGGCTAGGTGGATTGCATGTATCAATGAACCTCCTGAAGGTACGTATTGGGGCAACACATGACTGACTCTGGATTGGTCCAAGTCTGGGTGGAAAGTGGGTTACTTGGGATAAATTCTGCCGAAAGGGTGATGGGTGGCACATCCTATGCGAAAGGTATCCGTGCTCACGAACTCACAGTGCAAGCTCTCTGGCAAATCTTGCATCGTATGTTAGTCTCGTATCTGGATGACGAAGATCCTGATTTGAATAAACTGATAGGTGCAGTGACGAACCCAAGTCATCAGTATTTCTACGAAGCACTAATCTCAGTAGTGGAATCATCTCGATTTCAGAACAGTCTAGCAGCATTTGTCGACAGCAGACAAGTTTGTCACAATTTCCAATTCTGGTGGAAGTATATCGAGATGGTAAACATCCTACTCAGGTTCACGAGAGCTCAGAGAGACGGCTTATGGGAACTTCACCTCAGTGCCTTCCGGGACATGCTACCATACTTTCATCAATATGACCACACCATAGTGTTGTGTATATCTATGACCACACCAACCACGCTCGATGGGGATGTGTGTATCTTTAAGAAATGAGAAACCTCCCAAAAGTTGTAGAAGAATTCCGGAAGGGGAATTTTGTCGTGAAGGGTTCAGGCAGGAAGTTTAACCAGGTCGACCCTGACCATAGCCAGGAGTGGTTAAATGGAACTGGGAAACGAGGTGGTGGTATTGTGGGTATCACCAAGACGAACACTGCATTGACGAGATGGACCCTTTCATTCAATTTTAGGGCGCAAATATCGGCACAAACGCGGCACATGTTCAATGTCGGGGACAATGCAATTATCCACAATGAAGCAACACCAGCCAGAACCAAGAGGGACAATTCAGATGAAAGCAATATCGTAAAGGTACTGCGACAATTCAAGGTATTCACACCAGCTGATGATCCCAGTGAATCCCTTCATAGCATTGCAACCAACGACGTTGCAACCCCTGAAATCCAAGAGTCCCTGCTTTGCGTGAGAGGGTGGACACCTTTGTTGAAGAAAGGTTGGTGAACTCTACTGTCAAATTCAGAGATCAATTGCAGAAATCCAATCCACTGACATTCAAATCACTATATGAAGCGAGCAATAGTGACGTGAAGGGAAAGGCAACTACCCTGAAGGTGGATAGGACAATAATGCAGCGACTCATCACAGCTTTCCAAGCAGGCCGAAAAGTAGACCTACAAAAGGTACTACAGCACGAGTTGATGAAGATCCCGATAAGTATTGCCAATAATGACGGTAGTCTGAGAACTGGTTCAAAATCTATCCTTGCAGATGTCATTTGTCCATCGAAGATTAACGTTGACCCGTCCAATTCTTGCCTAGTCATCGATGGCCAAGCTGTAGTTGTTGCACTAGGGAAGCCTGCTGAAGCCTTTGGAGATCTGGCTGATGTATTTGTTGAAAATGTACTTGTTTCTGGGAGATTCTTCAAAAGAATAGATGTGACCTTTGATCGCTACGTTGACAACTCCATTAAAAGTGGAACACGTAAAAACAGAGCAAAGAAATCTCGTCCTATCAGGAAGGTGATTTCCTATAGTTATGTTTATGCAAGTCTCTATTTACATATTCTGTCTTATTCTAATTCTATTTCTATACAATGTACTTTTCTAGTGTACATTACTGAATAAAAGATTGCACACGAACTAATGCTTAATTGAAACATAATTAGGCTGAGGGACCTCCAATACTTTTTTATATTGTTATTATAAAATATTTATAAACAAAAATAATTGTTTTAATTTTAGCGACGGATTTTTATTTTCAAAAGGTACTATGCTACAGCATAATCTGTTAAAGTGCACAATGTCTGCACCTTCCAACATTCTAAGCAAAGCAAGAAATTCCTTCCAATATATTTGCACCGTTCCATTAAAGGCATACTAGGCCCATTGATTATGCAATGTTGACGAATGCTAGAGTAACTGGCATCTTGTGTAGTTAATAAGTACATAACCTTACATCCAAACGCATATTAGTTTGTCCAATATCACTGCTGGTTACTTAAAAAATGTCTAATTGAAATCAGTTGTTTACAGTTCCAAACCGCTGCCTGCGAAGCGGGTGTGATACAGATTTATAGTTCACCGGACATTTTCGCACGCATGCTCGGCCGTACGCAATGCTATCACCAGTGATTTCGTAAACACGGACGCTCGTAATAAGGAACTTTTTGTCAGGGCTGTCCACGTGCGTCCGTGATTAGTACGTGTTTTACTCCATTTCCATGTTTACACCGCTGAGACCTCCATTTCATCTGGCGTCCAAAACATACGGGCCGCACAAAATGTTTACGTCATCGCTCGACTCCTGGATGACATTTACGGCACGTAAATGAATATCAACAACCGATTGTAATGTCTTGCTTGTAATGTAACCAGCAGTGATATTGGAAAAACTAATAAGCATTTGGCTATAAGGTTATGTACTTATTAACTACACAAGGTGCCAGTTACTCTAGCATTCGTCAACATCGCATAATCAATGGGCCTATTATGCCTTTAACCTTGTCATGGAAGCTGTCCAACACTAGATGCACTCCATTTTAATAGCTATATACTTCGGACTACACGTATCAAATACTTTGGAAGCCATCTAGGCAGACACAGCATCACCACGACTCACAAAATTTCCACAAATCACATTTCCCTAATACTTGTTAAGTTAAAACTTCATTTTACAATCTTTTTACAGTAGAAATACGTATTTTACAAACAGAACTGACCTCATTCTCTACAGACAAAGTGTGACTTTATTTAGTCATTTATCACCATGGTGATAACATGTGGATTACTGCCAGAAGATTACACACTCTCATTTCATTCCTTGTCAATTATAACGCGTTCGACAAACAACACAGTGGACACAATTACAAAAACATTTCCAGATACTCTGCAAGCAAGGCGGCGGGCGTGTTCAGTGATGACAGTACTGGGCATACACACCAGAACCACAGTACATTAACATAATTTGCCTAGACATTAAACAAACACACACGCGCACACACACACTCAGTATACTGCTGCTACATGATGCAAGGTGTCTGGAACACAAACTAAGGAACAGTTGACAATAGCGAGTCAACCCTTCAGCAGCAGTACTGGCTGACGAAAGGTTCACGTCGTGAGCCATTTGTTCCAAGGCAATATAGAAACTGGAGATGTAAGCCGTACGTCCAAACGAACAAAGTACAAATAAATACGTGCACGTTAACCTTTAGCATACTGTACACCGCTAAAATATGGGCCCCCGGTGTAGATTTATGCAGAAAGCAGACAGGGGTGGAGGGAGTGCAATATGACTTCAACAGCTTACATACATAAGTTTAAATACGAAATCGGTGCTTAAATTAAATAGATCTACAAATCTGTGTATGTTTTCTTGCAACCCTTCTGCTTGAATATCGTTGTGATACGTAACAGCTATACAGAATGTAAACAGTCGAAACGTAATATTGCCATCGGTCAGCCCTTCCTGCTTTTGTAGGCAACATTTAGTAGCTATGCCGATGGCCACGCATCAGGGTGCACCAAAATTGAAAGCGTTCGGAACATCTTTGTTGGCAAAAACATAGCCGCCTTGCTCAGCTATCTGTTTGGATTCTGTAACAAATAAAACCATAGCAAAAATTCCATGCATTTGTAAGTAACACGACATGACGGCCTTTCTCGTAATGGACTTATATTATGGTATAAGTCCACACGTATATGGACTTTGCCAACTACATTATTTTTGGTAATTTCTCAAAAAGAAAGAATGTACGTTGTAAAACAACTAGCCGGCATAAACGCACCCAATAAAGGATTTATACATGCAGTTATTTGAAGACACGACAGAGCTACTAGAACCACTGCTGGCCTCTTTGCTTTATAACTCACGATGCACCGTTATTCCTAAACAATTCACGCGACACGACACTGCGAAGTTCGCTACGAGCGGAGGCGCCACCTACGTTTAGCAGCATGTCTCTGGTCGGCCAGCGTGTAGATTTCCTGCAGCGACTTCACCTGGTCCGCTTTCAGGTTGCACACGAGCACGTTGTACCAGGTCGGGTCCTGTCCGCGAACGTCTGCGGCAAATGTGGAAGCGCGTGAGACAGGATACACAAACCAGCGAATGAGTAAGCCGAGTGCACATCGCACCGCCACCACGCCTCAGTTACTCGCATGTGTTATCGACACGGAGGTTCAGGATGTGAACAGCATGTGTATTGTAATCATCGGCTAGCGTTACGAATGCACGACAGGTTCTTGGGAGTGCGTCGCCATCACGACTAAATTGTAAGAACACACGACGGCACGACCATCCACCGGTTTTTAGAATTCACCATAATCACAGCAAGGGTCAGAACATCAAAAACATCACAAAAAATACTACAATATTATATAACATATTATATTACCATAAGGCCACAATTAAAAAAAATATTTCTTTGCCCTCACCCGACCCAGGCTGAAAAGTTTGGTAGCAATTCAGCATGGTGTCTACATGCTCAGGTGTGCTTGTGTGGAGATACCTTTTATGTTAAATGTTTGTTTTGCTTAGTACATATAATGTACCGACTACAAATATATATAATGTACTGTGATACAATTTGTAAAAAAAAAAGAATGGGAAAAATCAGTAAACATTTTGAGACAGTTGACTTCGAAATTTACACGAGAAGACATATTCCTGACAAGCGTCCCCTGCTGCGTGCACGTCGAATTCTATAAACCTGTGGAAGATCACACCGACTGACGTGTCCTCACAGTGTGACGACGCATGCACGACCGACGTATTAGCGTGCGGGAGGATGGTGCTTACTCTCTAGGATGTGTTTGAAGATGTTGTACTCGTCGACGGGGCATTCTTCCTCATCGAGCGGCGTCTCGTACGCCTCCAGCTGCGTCTCCTCCAGCCCCTCCTCGTCAAAGTCGTCATCGTCGTCGTCGTCATCGTCGTCGTCGTCATCAGCTTCTGTTGCCTGCTGAGAAGACGTTGAAGCGACGCGTCACGATAGTCAACGCACACGAATATACCGAACCAAAACACATTTCAACCACTAGCTACAACAGATGAACTAATCTCGGTTAACCAATCTGTTATGCTCCCGGCCGATCGTGCCCGCGCGTGCACTCTAGCGAAAAAAAGGGCATCTCACGGATTTTTCCAGAGCCTCAAGATATTCTTGGTTGTCTTCGTCAATGATGTCGTCGTCGTCCTCGCACACCTCTGCGTCTGCGTCCTCCTCCTCGTCCTTCTCGCTGTCAGAGTCTTCCACGGCTGCCCGATCTGAAGAAACAATTCGCCAGTCTAAGCGAATTCACCCAGGGCACACGTATACGATCTTAGACACTCGTGTGGCGAGGCAGCGGCCATGATAACTGGCGTGGAAGGGTACACAGGCTCGTAGTCCTTGGTGGATCCTCTAAACCTAGATTCTCCCCACTAAGCATTTCAAAACAATAGCTTTTACCGCGGTCAGCGAGAGGGGGGACACGATGAGTGACGAGCTGTCGGTCACGATGCTTGCTGTGACACCACAGCGACGACGATCCATGAAATGCCTACTAGTTTGAACTTTTGTCTGCAGCTGATGGCACAAAACCGGCACCGCTCTATCCCTAAAATTACGTATTTTTATCATAGCAGATCTAACACAGATGAACTGGTAGCAGCACTTTAATGCTCACAAGTTTTACACACATACAGTTCACCCTTCATACACGACAGCAATATTGATAATTTTCTACACATTGCTAACTAGCACAAGTGCAACAAAACATCTCTGCGAAAAAGTAAAATGCATGGAAGGATTAGGGGATAGAGGAAAGTGATTCCAGACTCATTCCCGTGTTCTTTCTTTTCTAGCAAGCTATATGCACGTGCTTGGACGCTACAAAGAGTCCTTACACCAGCAAGCAACATGCAGTGTATTAACGTGGCTGTACCACAGTTAACATTAGTTGCATTCTAGTGGAAGTAACAAATTTTAAAAGGTAGAAAACAGCCGATATATACGAGTACCTGCATGCTTAAGTCGTTTTCTGGGTATGGCTAGCCCATCTACAACAAACAGAAGCCACATTGAACCCAACATTTTGCACAGCTTACATTTCGCGATTACTGCTCTTCGACCATAAGATACAGTTCACACACCACGAAAACTGGAAAGTTACGCATCCGAAACAGCCATTGCACACATCGATTCGACAAGTTAGAAAATATGTCACAAGTGTCGCACTTAGCAACATTTTTATGCTGGTTAGCACGCATTTTCCGGCTAGTACATGCATGGAACACACAAGCCGTTAACCAAACATTAATCCACCCGACTGCCTGAAGTCTCAACACAGATTCACTCCTAAGTATTGCCTACAGTTATTATACAAGTTATGAAAGGTGCTGCTGCTATTGTGGCACTTCGTGCCATTTTAGTGTTGTCAACGCACATGCGCTGGGTAGCGCAGGTTAGCAGACATATTTTGTTAATTAAAACACTGACCCACGATCACACGTTTAGCTTTATAAGAAATTAGCACAGAATTACAAGCTGGTGTGGAGTTCAGGAATGTAACACACACACACACACACACACACACACATCTGACAGCCGTGTAGAAAGAAAGAACACAAGAAGCTAGAGCCGTAGACTCTAACCATACATGTACGTCTGCTACATCTCGCTAGAGGATATCACAGGCATGCCTCTCGCTGAGAAAACACAAGCGTCTCCAACAAGGGTGCAACCACTTCCTCTAAACATTTAGAGAAACTAAATGGCCCATGCGGCGCCTGCTGGTACGTAAGAATTTCATCTATACTCTAGCGAGACTGCAGAGGGAGTCACTTTCCTTTCAGACAAGTCGAGGGGTGGTGATGATGACGATAGTGTAGATGCTCCATATGCTCATAATGTTTGAGTTTCTGCATAGTTCTACCTGCAACCTCACAACCCAATAATGTTATAAAATCTATTGCACACGGTAATGAATCACAAGAATATGTAAAAACAGACGAGACTGAACTGTTTCAGACAGGAAGCTGTTTGCAATACACAGGCTACCGAATTGCTAGAAACTCAACACCGTGGCTATTACTACATAGGAATTACGACGCACCCTGACACAGTATTATTACAGATCTTATAGTGCCCGCTAAGACATTGGCCAGTGTTAAGCCGGCAGCCGCAGCACGTGCCATGCTGTAGAGTAAACGTAGACTCACTCATGTAGGCTCGCTTCAAGCCATCAAACAGCAGAATGAGGGAGGGCAGGACCTGCTGAGCGACTCCCGAGATTGCTTCCGGCCGGTTGGAGGGAGTGTCGATGAGCGTGCACAATCCAAGAATGCACATCTTTCTGTCATGAATGCTAAAAAAAAAAAAATACAGAACACTCTGCAAGGCTGGAGAAACGAATCGTAGGCTGTGCAAATGGACTTCTATTCCGCGCAGCTGAAAACGACATCGGACAACTAAATGGCAGACAGTGCACAAAACCGCACGTGCACAAACAGTTGCGATGGCACACGATGCTTGCATAACTTCTAAATCTCCCAAATTAACATATATGCACCACCCCCCTGCAGACAAACGCACGCACTCACACTCACACACTCACACACACACAGACACGCGCACACACACTTCACGTGGTATGTCATCGTAGTTTAAGATCGCGTTCCGGCCGGCTCACCCGAGGAAGCAGTCTGTGTCGTCGATCCACTGCCGTATGAACTGTGACAGGATCGGTTCGCTGGTGTTCGGAAGGTGCATGTTGTTCAGTGTCTCCAACAGCAGACCGGGATTGTAGTACAGCGCTGCTATCACAACCTGAAACGCAGCAGCACACCTCGTTAGAACACAACAACCGCGGAGTTAAGCCCGGCGCACACGTGAGTAATTTTACTGATGCATGATGCATGCAAGTAAAATGATGCATGTGTCAAAAAACTCACGTGTGCGGCGGACTTTCGTTGAGTTTTCTGACGCATGCATCAAGAAACTCGATATCAAACACGTTTGATAATTTTTGACTCATGCGTCAAAATACTCAACGCGTGCGCGCTGGCTGCGTAAATTTACTCAACACTGGCACTCACAGCGCATGCGTTTAAATCATGGCTGCGCACAGTCACGTGATCTGCATTACCACTTATTATATATACCTTGAGTAATTTTACTCAAGTGTGCGACGGATGCTGAAAATATTTCGCGTAAGTATTTTGACGCATGCATAATTTTACTTGAGTAAAATTACTCACGTGTGCGCCAGGCTTTATGTTACCGTCGACGTCTTGCGCGCAAAGAGAGCATGTGCCGACAGACTAGGGGTGGCATATAGAAGAGAGCAGGCGACAGAACTCACTCACCTGCAGACACATGGTGCGAAGTTCGGACGTCTTAACTTCCCGGGTGAGCCTCTCCAACGCCAGCTCCACAAACAAAGGAACACACTACAGGAAAAGCAACACAACGGCGTCGTTATCACGTCATTAGGGTTGCAGAAGCCGGTATTTGGTCGGCAAAGACGTAAACATACGTGCTTTAATATATGACATGCCAAGAGACGTGTGATGGATACACATCCCCACCAAGTAAAACTAGCGACTAGCTACACTGTCAACAAAACACACCGGTCTTCTGAGGCCTGGTTCAATTGTTAAAGATACAGAACTAGAATTGCGTGCATAGACTGCTGCATGTAACTACTCTGCATGTTTTAACCTACGCACCTGATCCACTTGTCCTTTATACTGTAGCAGGATTACCTCCAGGAGCTTAGCTGCATGGCTCTCTGGGTCTTCTCCCTGATCACTCTTTAAAATCTGACAATCACAAAAATACACACAAAGTAAGCAAGACAGCATCTCCATATTTCCAACTGAATGTCGAGAAGCACAAGTCGTTCAAACATCTTGAAATCTCATTCGCCTGGAAGAGGCAGCAACACCCAAGTACATGGTGGTGGGCTGAAAAGTTACTCTTTATTGAGTGTTATAAATAAGACAATATCACAACTCACTGCCTTGCACATGTTGTACATGATCTCCATATAGCGAGGGTTGGACAGAAAAGCCGGAGCGTCTATTGTGATATAGTTATGAAGTGCCGGCATCATATCTGTAACCATGGCAACAAATACATGTATACCTAGTGCACATCATACTAGCATGATTTACACGTGAGAAATATTAAGGCAGAAGCTGTTTATGCTGTTGCTGCTGCACATGATCGCTGTTACACTGAAAACGTTTGTGCAAAATCCTAAAATATATGTTAATCGATGCTACTATACTCCCTTTTGTGAAAAAAATATATAATCACATACAATAGAGGTTTCTTCATCCGAATATAGTTCAGCGATACATTTGTGACACATGCACGAACTTTAAACCACAATTGGAAGTACCCAGCTATTGCCGTGGCCAGCCCATGGTCGGCGTGTAAAACGAAGGTCGTGCTCGCTCCAGCGCCGCGAACGAAAAAAAACAAGCGCATTCGCACTCACCGATGAAGTAATCGAACCCGTCCTTTTGGAACATGTCGTAGACGAGTTCGTAGACCTGCCACATGTTTGAGCTGATCGCTGTGCACGTCAAGCTGTACACCAGGGAGAGCACCTCTTCGTAAAATTCTGCAACAAACGAGAACGATATAAGACGCAAGAATCGGAGTCGGCAGTTCACGTCGTTCACAGCGAATCATTCTCGCAAACGGGTGTCCTCAGAAAACACGAATAATCACGCTGTCACGCGAGTGCCAACAAGCGAACGCGGCAACAGAAAAACTCTGTTCCCACGCTTGCAAGACGTCAACATTCGGCCGTTACAGCATCAGCCCAAATGCCTAATATTGTACATCACCGGACACCGAAACGAAAAACTCGCTAGCGCGCTAGCCGACGGCAAGCAGCGATTCGTACGCACCCATAACGCTGTTCTGTATTATCACGCCTACGACGTTGAGGACGACGCCTTCTAGCTGGGCCATGATGGCCTTCTGGTCCTCCATAACAGTCAGGATCGCAGAGATGGTGTTTAGTAGACCCATAGCTGTGATGGCCTTCTCTTCCGTCCCCTCGTCGCTGTTGATGACTTGGCCAAACGTCGTCGCCTGCAAACGAAACCAATCTCCTCTAGACAACGTCACCTCACTGGGCAGCGCTACTAAAACGCACGCAGCGCTACGAGAAATCATGCAAAAAAACCAGGTGCTTTCTTATTTCCTCTCCCTACTCTTTTCCTCTCATCCCTTCATCTCAAAAATCACTTACGTACTACGCTCGGATACTTGCTCGAATTTTAATTCATGATTTCGAACTACAAAATAGAAGCCAGCACAAACAAATCAAACAATGCTCTTAAAACCGACCGAGTCCTGAACTTTGCACCCAATAGCACGTTCACGCCCTGGGAAACTGGCAACACGGACCAGGAAGTCGACATGGAGACCAGCTGACGTAAACAAGCGCGCGTTCATACACTTGGAAACTCGGCACGCCGGACCACGACGTCGACACCAACACGGGACGATCGGCGAGACGTAAACAAGCGCGCGCGTTCGCTCACCAGGTGTTGCGTCATCTCGACAGCGATGGGCGCCATCTGCTCGGAGTAGGTGCAGACGAGCTTCTGCATCACGTTCGTCAGGTCGTCGTTCTCCGTCTCGCGAATTATCTTCAGCAGCTCGAGGACGATCATCTTCACGTGCGGCTCCATCAACGTCTGAGCTGGAGCGAGCCGACGCGGAGCATTAGAGTTGCAGACGCACCGTGCCAGAGCCGGATTTCAAAGCAAAATTTCTGACCCTTCTTCCCGACTTTTTGGTTACTTACCGCTATTGCACGAGGGAAAGCAACTGTCTAGAGTAACGCTAACATGACTTAGAACCTTCGTACTTCAGCATATTCACCAAAGCATGCACAATTTCAATTCTGATTTACTCGATTCGATTTCCGCCGCCATTTCTCGCGAATCTCAAACTTAAAAATCGCGTAAATAATTTTGCGCGTGCACGTGAGCTCAGGGTCTAATTGTAATCATACCAGCAGCTGGATGAATCCAGCCACCATCATGCGAACGAGACAATACTCATCATTGCTCACTACGTAAGGAACAAGTGAACACAATCTGTAAGAACTCACCGACGTGAAAAAACAATAAATACCTATTCTTTCGATTAATAAGTTATTACAGCAACGCCCCTGTAGCCATGAAGACGTCGCTTCGACCCCATGGTGAACAGAACATAGACAACCGTTTACAGCATTGCCCCCCCACCACCACCACGTGCCGCAGCGCACTTCATACAAGCTTACCCTTTTCTTGACTAGTAATCAGCATCTGGAGGGCAATGGCCGCCTCGACCTTCACCGGGAGCTGGGTGTCGTGCACGAGGCACTGCTGCGTCAGTTCCAGCGCCCGCGATAGGTTCTCCTCACTGAAACACGTGTGGCCGCCCTCTGTGAGTGCACACAGTCATCCAAGCCCGCCCCCACACACGCACGAGGTTGCAACGCGTGTTTTGACACGCACCAATTATTACTGACTATTATGAATACACGTTGTGAAGGTCGCCAGGGTCGTCGCTGCAGAAGGCAGATATACTGCACGACCCATCGTGTGTTCGACGAGCTTATCATACGATGCTACATTATTATACTTTTTACTTTTATTATAAAAATTATACTATTATTAGTGGTATTACATAATATATTCACAGCCACAATTCATTCATTGTTCAACGAATGCAGGCCGACCGTCTACAGACGGCCCAGTGGCAAGGGCGATACGTAGCAGCGATATACGCAACCTGTACGAAACGGCGCCGGGACTGATACCTCAATGGTGCAGCAGACCCAAAAAAACAATAGCGCATCTTCGTATCATGCTATACCAAAGATTAATTATAATGCTGGCCACTGGATGGAGCCGCATGTACTCAACTCTTTGGCGAGACCTTTCTTTCTTCTGCGCGATCAACGACATTCTCGTCCCATGCACGCCGTCGCCACGAAGCAGACACGCTACGGGCGATCAGCACATCACAGGGCAGCGTAACGCGACACAGTCGGCAAGCCTTACCCAGGGCGCGAAATAAGCACCGGCCCACCGACATATGCTGGCGGCAAATTATTTGGAGGGCCAGTAACATTGGCAAAACCACGGCCCTTCGAGCCGCTGGTTTCAGCCGTGTTAGCGAGTACCTACATTTTTATTCATAGCATTTATAAGCAAATAGCCTACATTACTGTTTTACCTGAAGGATATCATGCCATGATTTATCAACATTTTACAAATTTCAAATCGAGAATGCAAGCGTGAAACATGACATGATTGATTTTACAAACAAAATTTGTGAGAGCTGGTAAAAAATTACTGTTCCCAGTGCTCTAGGCCGGTGCAAAAAAATTTCGTGCCCTGCTTACCTGTTGAACTTCACATCACAGAAGTAGTGTAGGACCCAGCAGGCGCGCGCTCGCATGTAGCCATCCGTCGACTGGAACTGGGGGAACACGTACGTCTGCAGAACCTGCTCCACCTGATCCTTGTAAACTTTCTTCTGCAATAAGACACACAACCTCTCGTATCTAGCCGCCAAGATAAATAGACTGCCAGCCATGTAAGCTATGAAGTAAATACGAGCGTGCATAGAAGCCCACATCAACCACATGGTTCATACAGGAGTTAAAACAGGACTGAAATTTTTTTCAAGGACTTTTAAAGAACATTTTATCAGAATTCATACACAAAACATACCTGGATTAATTTAATAACCCCATTCTTAATCATATCACTGTCACCTCTAAAACTTACCTGAATCACATTATTAATAAACCCTTCTAAACACTGTCACTTCTACAACATACCTGGACTTACTGTAATTTGTGATCATCATTTAATTGTCTATCGTGTCTATAGCTTTTTAAGCTCATTTAACGCAATTTTTATTGAGGTTTGCACATTATTGATGGTACAAAATTTCTTTTTATTACAGGCAAGGATTCTTTCTAAAAATTCAAGGACCTTTCAAGCACAAAATCAACATTTACTAAATTCAAGTACTTTTCAAGGAATCCCCTCAAATTCAAAGACTTTTCAAGGACTGTGCAAACCATGAACCACAGAGTTCCGCTAGCCCACACACTCTCATAAGAAGTAATTAACAGGTGCAGACACACATGAACATTCCATCTCCACGTGCAAGTACCGAAATAGCTGTAAAGAAGACTGAACAACGACAACAACACACCCTCAGGGTTCTGCCCAGGATTTTTTAGTGCCGGGCGCATCCAGTTGCGACGAAGTCGGAAGATGCAAGCGCCGTAGGCGCGAAACCAATCTAGGGGGGTCCGGGGCATGCCCCACTGGAAAATTTTAAATAGTCTGAAACTCAATTTCCTGCACTCTGAGCAATAAAAAGATCATATATCATTTGCCGGGCACACCCGCCCACCGCCGTCCACCAAATCTCAAATAAAACCAGAGAGGAAAGGGGAAGAGAATTTGCCATTCTGCAGGTCTTCCAGAAGAAAACACAGCATGTCGGCACGGACGTGATGGAAGCTGTTGCGACTACATCACGCCACAACTAATTCAGCTATCCGCCAGCAAAATTACTAGCCCACAACCCCACACACACATCGCTGCTTATCTGGTTAGGCAGAAAGGCAAGCATTCCTTGCGTTCCCGCAAATTAATCCGTGGAACGTACTGTAGTCAATCTCAACAGACGTAATTTCCCGCAAATTAATCCGTGGAACGTACTGTAGTCAATCTCAACAGAGACGTAATTTCGCGCTGGAACTTCACCCACCTTGAGCAAGAGGTCAGCGAGTGTGCCGATCATGTGCAGGGCGCCCTCTTTCTGCCGCGTCTCCATGCCGGGCTGCACGAGAATGCTCATGCAGAATTCCATCGTCGACTGCAGCATGTCCTTGCGCTTGAGACAGCACGTGTGGAGCAACGTCTGGGCGGCCGTCACGGGCGAGATGAAGTCCTCAAACACGTCTGCATCGATCAAAAAATTGCTCGAGTTAATCGTCGTTTGTTACATGACACCGCGCACGACTCTTGCTAGAATCTAACTTCGCCTGCAACTTGCTACGAATCCATATTATCTGCCAAATGCAGTTGAACAAACCGTTCTACGCGGTCAATTTCTTCTGAAGCAAAATAAAAATAGATATGCAGTGAACCCTCGGTAGCAGAGACCAGGTTCAGTTGCTCTGTGCGATTTATCTGGAGGGAAATAATCAGGAATGTTTGACTGTAACAGTATGTCCAGGGAGTGTGAGTTACTTATCGCTACTTATACAGTACCTACAGTACAGCCCTATACAGCTAACGTTTACAGGCCATCATGGGAAAATAAACGCTTCGCTCACGGTAAATGACATTACTCTTCTGTGCATTCTACACCCCTCCATTTAACAATGATTTTCAATGTTTAATATGTGTGAATCCTGAGTATATGCTAATGTAGTATCTACTCTGCACTCTTGTGCCTTTATTGCCAAGTTATTATATCACTCTGAAGCGAAGGACATTCGTCACAGCCTACATCACCCCACCAGTCTGTTAAATCGAGGGTTCACTGCATATAGACAGCTCACGGTATAGGGATTACGCACCAAACTTAAGACGTATGTATTCTATAGGGTCCTCCTCCCACAATTCATTGTCTTCCTTCGTATGGCACATCAGTGGAAACAAAACGTCGCTAACAATTTGCTGAAATCACACGAACATCAATTTCAATCCACCTTCATCAAAGAGAGGAACATCAGAGGTACGTATCACTTTAAAGGCAGGGTTCTCCCTACGTTGCGCAAACGGGGGGCGCGCGCGCCCCGTTTGGGGAAACTCCCCCCTGTTTGAATCGTTGCGCCCGGTTTAAATTCCACCACAATAAAAGTTGCCAGCCGCGGCGAATCGACCATCAGAATTGCGCCGTTCGACCAGGACACCGACGGTGTAATCTTTACCGTACACGCTATGCCACTGCAGACACGTACACAAGTTAAACCTGACAAGTGCACAGTTAAGCCTGTAACTAACTGTACCCGACGTCGGCTATCGTCTCTATATAGTACAAGAGAACCCAACAATACCGGATCTATGCGTGAGTGTGGTGGGCGTTTTACGACATTAATTAGTCGTACCAGGTAAAAAATACAACGCCCCTGCGGACCCCCTAGTCCGTAGTTTTCCCCCCTTCCCTACCCCTCCCCTCCCCCCTGTTGAATTTAATCCTGGGGAGCAATCCCTGGAAAGGCGATAGTGCACTCTAGCATTGTACTGCAATAACTGTATTTACTGTATAACAATCGTCATATACCCACGATAATTATGTTACCAGCAATACCTAATGCTTGATTTTATAATTAATTGACACATCAAACGCTACGAAATTTCAAACGGCGCATTGACCACACGGCGACCAGTGCGGCACCACCCTGAAAAGTGGCCGCGTTTCCCAAATATATTTTGCAGGTTACAGACGAGGCTAATCACACAAGTGCAATGTATATTCATACCCTAAATGCTATATTAACCGAAACGATGTCATTTTTAGGAGCAAGATTTATCATAATTAACTGAACTGAATATGTCGATTTATGAGATATTACAATCCTTTTGCTTTTTAAATTAATAAAATAAGAAACACCCTCGGTCTGTAGACCTTGGCTAGAAAGTCGGTTTTGCGCAACTTATCAGATCCTGTGCGCTTGAGTGGCCGCACCGCCGGTTGTAGATCAAACCGTAGTCGTTAGTTTTAATACATTTTTTAATAAGATATTCTAATGCAGTGTTGAGACCATTAAACTTTTTATGAAGCCGTAATTTGAACTTAAATTAACTTAATACAAACCCTTGATAGAACCTAGAGTAAACAACTTCCTTAAGTACTGAACATGATGATACTAAAAGAACCGAACATCGGCCTTTCAGTAATATGTAGCTAAAGAAAATCGGAAACCAATTCAGATAGGAAGGCCTAGTTTGTTTGAATATGAGCTCAGGCTGTCTTTTTGTTCACACCAGCCGGCAGTGGGCCACCCTACTGGCTGCTTGAATGGCTTTTCCTCCACGATGCTAGTACACGACTATCACGAGCCAAGGATCGGAGCCGTGTTGTTAGATTTGTTGCCGCAATTCTGCATTTCCTCCCTATACCTTAGGTTTAAGGAAGGAATGATTCCCTCTTCTCAAACCCTTGACTTTGACCTCACTTCGACATCCCAACTCGTTTTCGGATACCCCATACGTCCCACTTCGGAATCCGTGACGTCGGAGCCGTTTAGATTTGTTCGCCAAACTGTTGACGCACGCGACGCAGACGATCAGCGAATTCTACAAGCTGCATCTGATTACGTCAGATGAGCTAAAAACCAATACCACGCGCCATCCAAGAGGCCAAGTGAAAAGAGCCATGCACCAGAGGCTCTTGTTACGATTCGACAACACTCACCCGCATGTGAGGTTTGAGGAACTTCCAGGAGTGAGCGTGTGCAACTCTGAAACATTCAACATTTATCCGAATTTCAGATTATCTGAACAGATCTCAAGGTCCCGTGAACATTTAATAATATTGAACTGCCAGAAATATACGATGACAAACAATCGGAGGGTATGGTGGGATAAGGATATGCTAAATAGATAAATTATGTCAACAAGCTCTTGGTCATAAATGTGCGCAGATTTACGTCGACTGTCTCTGTGTTGATGAAATTGAACTGTCAAAAATATACGATGACAACACAAGTCGACGGCGGTCGATGGGCGATAAGGTTACATATCTAACTGAGATAACAATAATCTTGCCACAGACAAGGCGTATCGGCTCGCACAAATGGCGCAGTTTACACACCATCGCTGCTCTGGTTATCTAGAATTCACATAAATCTGGTCGGCTCGTTACCAGAACACACATAACACCCAGTTTTGACATCTAACCTTGCCTCATAGACTGTCACAGAACACACGGAAAATTATTTAGCTTTCTCATGCACAGTGGTTACACAGGTATGAGAAAGTTCTATGGTAACTAACGTGTTGAGGACGAATCTTGAGTCTGGCAACGCGGCAGCCCTTATTACAAGATAATTGTGCTGGCGTCTGATCCGGGTAGTAGCCGTATGGCGCAATGCGATTAGGTGCTCAGCAAATTGCCGTCAAGACAAACTTGCCGACCCGCTACGCTCGCAGCATCTTCAGGAAGGATACATGACACGGCGATTGACATGGACACCCTGCTGGACAGTGCAAGCGTCGGCCCCCCGGAATTACTGCTCGGCGCCTAAACCACGCGCGCTCGTCCTCTTGGTCCGAACCCTGCACTCCTGACTGACCCGAAAACTTTTGAGCGGTACCATCTAGAAACTGCTTGTAATTTTGTACATCTTGCTACACATAGATTTGTCGCATGTGACAGTAACACTTAGGACACCGTGAGTCGTTGGGTCAACCCCTGTTCAGGTGATGAAATTCAAGCTAGATTTTGCAACATTGCACTGACATAATGAAGGTCGTTATTTTGAGATAAATTGAAAACAAGGCCGCAGAGCGGTCTTGGGCTCACTCTGCAGGTGTGTCTGCTGACGTGATTATAAACGATATTGGCGCTTTGCGCAATTAAATGCCTGGTGCAACTGTGGTAGCCTACATTGAACAGGTGATGGGCTCTAATTGGCAAACACGACAGTTCGACTGCCTTTCGTTAAGCAGCCTGCACACATCATCCATGTTTTAGACCTCCTCCGTTGAGGGGTCAAAGAGGGATTATCAGGACCACTTACTCTTCCTGCACGGTCAGGGGAAAGCACTTTCGATGGCTCTCTTCATAAAGCCAGTACAAAAGGGTAGGTCACCGCTGAGCAACAAAAAAAGGGTTGTCTAGACCGGCGGGTTTTTGGTCACACCTATGTCCTACCAGAAACATGTCTAAATCTGCCACTGTGCCCATCGTGCACCTGTTGCCTTGACTGCCAATTTCGCACCAGTTTGATGGCTTTCCTACCATGATGCAGTATACAGCCGACGTGATCACCAGAGCCTAGCGTCGAGCCGTTTAGATTTGTGCCTCAATTCTGCATTTCCTCCCTATACCTTAAGTTAAGGAGGGAATGTTACCACTTCTTTTACACCTCTTGACCTTTGACCTTTGACCCCCAGCTTCGATATCCCAACTCGTTTTCGGATTACCCCCCCACGTCCCGAATATCGTGACCGTACGTCGAGCGGTTAAGATTTGTGCCCAACTGTTGACGGACGGACGGACGCTCGCACGGACGGACGGACGCTCGCACGGACGGACGATCATGCGATTCTACAAGCCGCATCTGACTATGTCAGATGAGCTAATAAATATTTCAATCCATTTCTGTTATTCATTATTAAAGAAAAGATATTTGATTGTTCACTTTTCCTTTTTTAGCGCTGTAGAGTTAGTCCTTTAAATTATTTACGATCAGATCAGTTATCTGAACAAAATTCTCACCGCCCGTCTCGTTCGGATAATCGAGGTCCAACTGTATATGAATAACCAACCATTTATATATTCACAGCTTCAGGAAGTACGAGGAACAGGACCAACCCCACCCCCGAGGTTAAATGTCATGAAACGGCAATCTTAAATATTCTACGATTTACTTACGCTGTGTTGACGTAGTTAATAGACTGCTGTAATACTCTAGGTGCTATGTAGATATTTTGTCTGTAGAGGTCGAGTATCTTCAATAGAACTTCTAAAATACCAGCTGCAAATACAATTCATCATCAGGGATTTTATCAAGTCAATATAAAGATTTCTACAGACCTATTATTGCACACGCACACTCACGATGGCACAGATTGTTGCACATTGCAATTTCTATGACTTTCCACATATAACACAGCACTTATTTTAATGTCAAATGTCAAATTACTGTCGACTGGCTAAGCCCCATCTCCACACACAAATTCTACTGCCTCGCTGAAATTGAACTGCCAGAAATATACGATGAAAACAATCGAGGTATGGTGGGATAAGGTAATATCTAATAATAAATATTTCAACAAGCTTTGTCAAAATGGCGCAGTTTACAACATACTGTTCTGTTGATCTAGAATTCACATAAATCTGGGGCTCGTTACCAGAAACAAAATAACACCAGTTTTGACATTAACCTTTCCTCATAGACTGTCAACAGAAACACGGTAAAATTATTAGTTTCTCATGCACAGTGTACACAGGTATGAGGAAAAGTTCATGCTAAGACTAACGTTGAGACGAATCTTGAGTCTGACAACGGGCCCCTAGGCCAGGATAGTTTGCTTGACGTCTGTCCAGAGTACCTATGGCGCAATGCGATAAGTGATCAGCAAATTGCCTCAAACAACTCCGACCTACTCTCGCAGATCTTCAGGAAGGATACATGACACGGCATTGACATGCACCTGCTGGAAGCTGCAACGTCGGCCCCCCGAATTACGCTCGCTGCTAAACCATGAGCGCATCCTCTTGTACGAACCCGCAGTCCTACTTACCGGAAAACGTTTTCAGGTACCAATCTGAGAACTGCTTGTAATCTTTGGTTACATTGCCTGGACTGCCATACCTGAGAAACGGGAAGAAGTACGGATGAATGCAGGTTTAATGAAACTGTGACACCACACACAGTACATTAACCTTGACTCTCCAATTTGATGTTTATGCATTTATAATAAAATCGGAGGGAGCGACAATTGTCAATATTCGTACAGGACGGAACAACAAATACTGTAGCTGGAACTATGAGAATTGACAATGTTTTAAACAGCATTTAAGGTTACCAGGTAGAATGTGGCCAGCTTTACTTTACACAGAACACTATACAAGTAAACCCTGTGCATTGCGTAAGGTGGCGTTATTGTAGCATGGTGTCTGCCCCATAGAGAACACAACAGTTCTTTTTGGATCAAGCCATGCAAACGATGTCCAGGCGACATGCACACGCACATGCACACCATGTGTTTACCGTTCAAATATCCGTGCGAGTATGTGAAGACCCCACTTCTTAGCTTTCCAGTATGGACTCTCAGCCCTGTCATCCTCATCTAGCTGCGATATAGCCTGCACGGACAAAACAGGACATCACCAGGCGGCACCGGCATTGACCAGTCTGACCAACCCCCCAGAAATGCACGCACAAAAAGACACCAGCTAATATCAATACTGCAGCCAACCAATGCACGTCGTGTATGCGCAAAATGTTCGTAGATAGACTGGAGGCATCAGGGTTAAAAAGCTCATAATGTGAAAACATCAGCGGATGTTCAGAGTTGGATCGGTTTTCATCATCTGCGCTCCAGTCTACTTCAGGTTTCAGGTATCCAACACCGCCACTATTTAAGTCAAATGGCGGGAATATTGAAGAAATAAGATGCCTTTAATCACACTCTACTTCCACGGTGCGTAAAATAGTTCACACAGAATTGCTCAAACTTTTTTTGCAACATGAAATGCTAACCGAAGCACATTACATTAAAATGGAAATTTAAAGATAACTTCCATTAGGACACCAGACGTACACAGTAATAACAACCTCACACCGCAGAACACTTTATGCTTGCATTTGAAAATTTCGTCGGTGCCATTTACCAGTTTACTACACGATCCAAAGTCCAGGCAAGATAATGCGACGTCAGTACGTCGGTCAAGCACCGGCTGATACTCACGTCGGGTATTGGTCGCTCGAGCACGGTCCTAATCAACTCCATCCAGCGACTAAACGTGTCTCTTGAGATGACGTCTTGAGGCAGGAAGTACTGCAAACAAAATCACGCTATCATGCTTGCCTACGATGTGCAAATCAAGGATACAAAGATTCCTAATGATATCCAAGCTTACTAGGCAGGTTGTTGCTGCTCTATTCTTAGCACAAAACTCCATACAAGTCAAATTATGTGCACGGAAGCAGATGGCATTATTGTAGCATGGTGTCTGCCCCATAGAGAACAGATCAGTTCTTTTTGGATCAAGCCATGCACAGAAAACCCTCATGTACACTCACACAAACCGACAACACAATCCCTACAGTTTAGCAACAGGCGACGTTAGTCTGTTCAGGCTGAATTTAACCACAGCGCCAGTTGCCCCTCATTTTCCGTGGTCCCCATAAAACTTGGATGATATCCACAGCAATACTCTCATGGCTACCGTACCTGGGACACCTCGGTGCATTTCTCATAAATTCCATGGTTTGTACCCATACCCGTGTTGTTAAAAACGGGCCTCGACTACCCTTCTTTGAATGAAATGGGACCATTGGTGCCCTCCCCGCAAAAGCTATCTTGCCCTAAACTTTCTGGTCTCGCCCTACGTAACAATTTGCCCCACGGACTGACTGAGCGGCGGTCGCGCGGAGGCCGACGTACTTGCGTGAGGGCAAAGAAGGTCTTCAGTATCATCTTCTGGCAGAGGACGGCGGGCTCGGACGAGTCCTGCAGCAGGTGGAGCATGCGCTCGTACACCATCGGCAGCAGCAGCTCCAGCGCCTCGTTGAGCGGACCCCGCTCGTCGAGCTTCTTGTATCTGTGACGACAAAGGTTGTCGTCAAATAACAAATCTACTTGTGACAACGACGCGCGTCACTCGCTAAACGCAACGTCGTTGGCGCCTCGCCGTGCCGATCAAGTTTTGTTTCCACCTTCAGTGTTAGTAGCGAAGCTCAGTGCTTCATAAACTGGTGAATGGTTCACCCAAGGATGAATGAAAATTGGTGGAAATACATAAGGGAATTTTGTCGCGGGTGAACCAAATTTTGTGATAAAGATAGTGAAGCACTGGTGTATCTAGTTATTATCATTGGTAGAATGTGGACGCAACAGACGTGCTTAATTTCCAGGGGCCTGTTGTCAGAAACAAAATTAGTCTTAACATTAACTTCCACTCGTAAACCGTTGACAAAAAACATCGCTAAGTTACGAGAATGAACAAGTGCCACAGACTGGACAGAGCGACAGCGGCTCCACCTTGACAGAGGTGTTCTGATGCTAACCTCAACTGTGCAAACGAATGAAGAGCCACCTCCCATTCACCGCCTGTTCGCGTCAGAGCCATATATCTAGGATAATACTAATACAGAGTCATCTATCCAACGACAAATACAACTACCCCACCCGAAAAGTACCAACCCGAAACCAACGTAAACAAATGAATACCAAAAAAACAATAAGGGCAAACCAAAAAAAAAAACAAATCTATAGATTGCTAGGGCCTTTGCTATACCGGTAGTACAGTATAAGATTACTAGTGCTGGCAACTTTAATGACTTCGCTATATTAACATGTATATCATGGATATTGCGTCTCCGAAGCGCCGAGCGTAGTGGTGGGGGGAGAGTGGTGGGAGGGGGCGACGGTGGAGGGGCCTCTATAGCAAAAAGCAGTTGCCGCGCAGGACTGGCGCGTGCAAGTGTCATCACCAAATTCAAAGATGGCATCCCTTCATGTGCGTTGATAACCTGCACTCCATTGAGTTTGCTGGAATCCAATTTATATTCAGGCAGGCGAGAATTTTCGCCTCAACCTGTGAGTTAAACCATCTTGCATTGCGGTTGCCAGGATAATTATGATTTTAGAATAGGTGCCAGTTTCACCCCCATTGCATGCCTAAATGGGCTGCCCCCATTGTTTCTGCCTACCCACGCGAGCAATCCAGGGTTCATTACAGTGTTGCATAATACAGCGGTGCTAATCAGACTGTTTTAGAAAATCATTGATTAAGGGCAGTAAACCTTTGTTCAACAAAACATTTGCTTTTGGAATTGAACTGCGCCAACTGTAGCACTCACATCCGCCAATAGCAAAAGCAGTCAGTCCTTTGTTAACAGTCAACAAATCCATGTTTAACCCTCCTCTTGAGGGTCAAAAGGTTATCCGACACTTACTCTTCGCATGTCAGCGGAAAGTACATTTCATGGTCCTTTCAATAAAGCCATAAAAATGGTAGGTCACCGCTGAAACAAAAAAGTTCCCCAATCGCTCCATCAGACCATGTCCTCAGAAAATGTCTAAAATCTGCCCTGTGCCCCCTTTGACCTGTGACCTCCAATTTCGGCACAGTGATGGCTTTCCTACCATGATGCTATACACCGACTATCACGAGCCTAGGTCGAGCCGTTTAGATTTGTGCCACAATTCTGCATTTACTCCCTATACCTTAAGTTAAGGAGGGAATGTTCCCTTCTTTTACACCTCTTGACCTTTGACCCCCAGCTTCGACATCCAAACTCGTTTTCGGATTACCATCCTCACGTCCCGAATATCGTGACCGTACGTCGAGCCGTTTAGATTTGTGCCCAACTGTTGACAGACACACGGACGGACGCACGCTCATGCGATTCTACAAGCTGCATCTGACTTGTCAGATGAGCTAAATACCCTCTTAACATTACGAGAGCCCAGACACTTTCGTAACTTTAATATTAAGTTGAAAATAACACATTTGCACTACGAATTACAATTATAGTGATATTATATTTTATAATAATGAATAAAATGTGTTTTTCTTGAAAAACACGTCAAAATCATTAATTATCTACCAATCATAAAACAAAACAAAACATTTACAAATGGCGTATGGCATTTGTTCTCGTTTTAAATGACTCTGCCACTTGCCACGACTCTCGCGTCTCGTGTTACAGTGTGAGAATTTGTGTTGTTGTGCAGAATAAATTCATGACCGCGTCGTTTTTCATCAAATATTATTTACATGTGGTTAGCCATCATAATATGCATAAATTACTGTGATATACAATAAATGTGTATGAATTTGAATCTTGTGATCGATTCTAATCCAATCAGCAGCCTTGTGATGAAGTTCCTGTTATCGTAAGTTTTCTAATAGCTGCGATGTGTTTCTGTCACCGCTCCTCTCGTAACATTAACATTAGTCGTAAGTGTTATCTTAGCATTAACATTAGCCAACAGACCCGCTACGTTTCCTTATTCACGAAGCATTAGAAGCAGACCCGCTACGTTTCCTTATTCACGGAGCATTAGAAGCAGACCCGCTACGTTTCCTTATTCACGGAGCATTAGAAGCAAACCCGCTCGCAAAGTTATCATTACTGCCATGTCTGCAATGCAAGCTACAGACTGCAGAGCCACAAAGCGAAGTTATCGAGCAAACGAACCCGCTATACACGTATGAATCACGATAGATCACGATGATCACGTGTGAATGACCCAAAAAAGCAACAGGCCAAAGTTTGAGACTTGGCATAAAATATGACACCTTTGGGGTTTCATTCCATCTGAGACATGTTCATTGTCAATATATCATTGAAAGATAAACTACGATATTCTTTGGTCATATCAGAAAAAGTTCAATCAAAAATAGCTCAGCTACGAGAAATGAACTCTTACACGCCATAAAAGCATTCACAGTTTGTACAAGTTATAGCAATAAAGCATCATGCCAGCATACAAAAAATAATGATCATGACAGGAGATGTGTAAGCCACACACCCACAGTGATGCAGACATGTTCAGGGTTCCCACTCATATGAAGTTTTCATTTTCCATGAGTTTTTTTTACTTGAAAGTAAGTACTAACAGATCCTCAAATTCTTACCTAATAAGATTGTTTTTCAACTAGTTAAAAATTCAAAAAATCTGGGCGATTTGATATATTGATCACAACATTTCTTGCTATGGGCTATGTACGAGTCACAAGCGTTTGTTCACAGCGAACGATATAGGAAAATAGGAAGTATAATGAAGCAATTTAACCATAAAAAGTGAACAGAATCACTTACAGTTTGTGAAAAAGTGGACTTATTTTGTAAAAACCTTTATTATTTACGGTGACGTAATCACTTTAAGGAACACTCGGTCGCGTGTCGTACGTGCGCGAACAAATCAGCGCTAATAACCCGCCGGGATTCGCGGCGGCGGGCGAGAAGCCAACTCACTCGTAATTCTTGACGAGCTGATGGAGGCACATCAGAGCGCCGACCCACGTCCGATAGTCGGTGTACTGAAGGTAGAGGTTGATCTTCTCAACGATCTGTGGCCAGCGAGACGGAAAGTCGTGTTTCACCATGTTGCTGATGCACACGACCAGCTGCACCCTGCAAAACACACGCGCACGCACACAGCACGTTACACACACGCGGGAATTTCGCTCGCTGACCGCCGCGTCCACCTCTCGCGCATTGATCACGAGGCACCGCTACCTACTATCACGGCAAGGGACGCTTTGTCGCGCGCGCACGACAGGCTGGTCGGCGGCATCAGGGTTAAAAAGCTCATTCTGAAAGACATCAGCGAATGTTCAGAGTTGGATCGGTTTTCATCACGTGCACTCCAGCCTGTCTCGCGCACGAATAATGCTGTAAGGCTACATTCCCCTTTCACAGCCTAATAAAAGGACAAGCTTTAATTCTTGTCATAACAAACTAAAACAAGAAACAACATGTGGAGCAATTTATTACTATCGTACAAACATCTAAGTGCTAACCAGTAGGTGCTCTACGTAATTTTGTATACTAATCTCGTCCAATCAGTTTGTACAAAATTTGGCAATCTGATACAATAAAATACGGCCAAATTATTCGCGCCATGACATTCGATTTCCCCTTACTTTCCTTTACTGTCATACTGCTCAAACACACCATAACCAAAAAACAATAAATGCAGTCCAAATGCACTGGGTTACACTCATTAAATAGTTGGTAGTTAAAGACACCCCTAGCATCTTCCCCTTTTCCCCCCAATCGCGGAGTAAATGCGCAGCATCCGACTCAACGCTACCTGATGATGTCGGGCGCTTGTATGACAGCTTCTATGATCGCGTTCCTGATCTCGGCGCGATCCTGCTCGTGAATGTTGAACGGCACCACGTCGCCTGGCTTCTCCGGCTCGCGCGGCTGCCAGAACTGTGTGATCATGTTCTTGAGATAAATTACACCTGGAAGCGAGCGCAGATTGCTGTTCAAGATCCGACGAGAACTTCGATTATTAAAAAAGTGTACATATTCCGAGTTGCGGTTGGTCATATACTTTAGCAACCTCAGGGCTGAGTTTTTGAGACTGCGAGTTTGTCATATAGCTATGAGTACTACCTAACCGAAGTCTAAGACCAGCTGAGGCTCACTCAAGCTTTCAAAGTATGACGTGGTATTGGGTCTGGATATTGTGCTAAATCCTGCACACAACCTACCTAATAAACTACGGCACGTAAAAATGCACGAATTTAGCGCTTTTATCCACTTGACACCCATGCACAAACTTCCCGCCATTACGCCACCTTATGCGATTTTAAGGAATCTGATCTACGCTGTTGGCAACAAGAAACGATGGGTGAAATCATCTCTCTTAAAAGCTTACTATTTCGAGATTTTTGCTCAAAAATGAAATATAGCTGAATATAGTCTCACCTGACAGCAGAAATATCACTGATTACACAAACATTAAAAACACTAAGATTTTATGCAGTTATAGCATAGGAAAATGGATTTGACCACATCATACCAGCAATAAATTTTATCGTATGCCGACTCTCAAAATCACAAATGGCGCCTTCAAACCAAGTGCATAATTAAAACAAAAGGGCGTGCAATTCTGTGTGCTAAATATTATTGAGTTTTTATGTCAGTAATTCAGAGCACTTTCTGTCATTGCCATTCCCGTGTTACTATCTGACTAGTAATCCACAAGCTTCTCTAATAACAGACTTTACGCGGCATTAGTACTACACTCCTGTTATGCTAGTATGAACGTCTGTGTTTACACTCTGACCTGATTTCTGCGGTGCGACTATATCAGCGAAAAAAATACACGGGAGCGGCGAGCGATTTCGCTCCCGTCAGCTTTCAAAGCGCTCTGGTAACAACAATTACGAGAGCGAAAATTTTGGAAGATACGAGAAAAAATCGCTCCCGTGCCGCCGGCAGCGTTCAAAATTAGTTCCGACCCGGGGGCCCGAGCCCACCAAGTTTATGCTCGGGCCACCATCTCTACGAAACTACCGGTCCTCCTCACCGGCACTTTTTCCACTCATATCACGCTGAAATACTACCGTTAGCGCAACGGCAGTTTAAACAGACTTCTAAACGGGAGCGCATAATACGACCCGTTCCTCAACGTAGACGAGGTATCCAAAACAACAAGAGCTGCATGAACTCCCTCAACGCATGATTCGCCACACAAACAAAAACTTGCGACAGTC